GTTCCTGTATAACAATATTGTCATCTGACGCAGACATTTCGCTTACTGCTTTTTCAACAGCCCGTGCATTTGAATAATTTTCATAAGGACCAAAGCTCTTATTAAATTTAAATTCATCCCATTCATTACATGGCAACTGTTTCATACGAGCTTGAGAAAGCTGTTTAGTTTTTTTAGGCATTTTAAATGTAGACTGTCCAAAGTCTATCCATGTTTCTGGTACTGTTATGCAATACGTATCATATAACAATACGTAAAACATCTGTAAAAATTTAAAAACATATATTAATATAAGTAATTATAAAATGACCAACAATGAAGAGCTTATAAAATATTGTATATATTATATGAAGATATGTCAAAAGACAGTACTAAATTTGTAGCATTGTTAATTTTATTAAGAAAATGTTACACTTAATATTTTTATTTATAAAGTACATAAAACAGAAAAATAAGTAATACGTAATTGAAATCTCTATTGCTAAGCATATTATTCCACAATTATTATTGTTGATAGGATTATTTTAATTGGATGAAGAATGTAATAATGGCATGCAACACCAAGAAGTTGGGTATTCAAACGGAAGTTGAACAGCTTTATTAACGATTTCTGTAATTGGCCACATCTGTTCATCCGTTGATAAATTTTTAATCACATATATGTGTTGTAAGTCACAAGGATAAAATGACAACAAATGTTTTGTTAAAAACTTTTTTTCAATAATAACACCTATTCCCTCTTCGTTATAACAAATATGTTCAATTACGACAATTATTTTGTCCTTGAGATAACAACAATTATTGGGTTTCTTATTTTCCAATTGAAAGTTGCTGAATTCAATGGTGCAATAAGCATTGATACAATTCATTGGAGGAAGTTTAATCATTTGTTTTTCAATATAGGTATACTGCTTTTGTTATAATCCGATTGAAGAACTGCGTTGTAATTTTCAGAAATTCTATTATATAATTGCTGTAGTGGTTTTTCGGCTTTTCTCAGCATTTTTTTTATAACCTGCATGTAATTTTCGAAAGGAAAAGCAGAAAAATCATCCAATGATCCAAACATCAGTACATCTTCATTAATATGAATTAAATTATGCACATTATAAACGATAGTTTCTTCACCGTATAAATATTTAAATATATGTACAAATTCATTCAGTAGATCTTTGGTGTATTTATTGTTACGGAAATAATTTGTTGGATGACACAATATCCGTATTGCACAATTTATTGCATTGAAATGAAGTAAGTTATCTTCAGGCATAATATTTATCAAGATAACAGGTCCAAGATACAGTAAAAATTCCCGCAACTCTGTCGCTTTCTAATATTTTAATCGTCCAGAGAATGTGGTTTTCGAGCAAACTCCTTCGGTACCCATTTCGACATTGTAATTAACTTTTCTGACAACTCTCTGCTACTTTTTGCCCACTTAATCTTGATGTTTGATATACTAGTCCATAATTGCAAGAGTTTCTTCATAACTCCTAAACACACCAAGTGCATGTAATCTAAAGGAAACTATGAAACCATTGGCAGTTGTATTGATTCGAAAGGAAATACACCAGTATGGTGATGTTCTTGTACTCTATTTTTGAAATTGTCATCAGTTCGAAGAGGTGCACTGGGTTTCAAAAATAACATGTGATGATTAGAATAAATGCCTTCTCGCATACACTTTCCACATCCAAAGAATCCATTATGACCTTTTGTACAAGTTACGAATGCTCTTGCAAGACTATCGCAAATTACACTTCTAATTAATACAGTGTATCTTTTCTTGCCGAAAATAAATCCTTTATCTCGGAGAATCTTATATTCCTCACAGAAGGTGTTAACAAATTATCTGGAGAAGATGGTTTCTTGTATCCATAAGCACTAATTACAAATGGTGAAAATCTTTTGTCATCATAAATTTTACCTAATATTGGCCAAATTTGACTTTTACTGCTTTTTGCTATTGGGAGTCCATCGATATTTAACTCAATCAAAATCACATCATTGCTGATTATAAATTTTTTGTGTATCAATTTAATTAATGCTTCTTCTAGACCGTAATGAAAAAAGCTTTCATTATCTTCTGATACCTGTATGATACTATTTCTCGGCGTATTTAACAGCGTTCTTGCATCCTTAGGCAGATCAGTATAACCACATGAATGCAATTTGTTCAATAATTCTGATAAAGCAGTGTTAGTAATGTTATGTTTAAGTTTCCAAAAATGTAATCAATTTGAAAGATGTTGATTTTCATGAATCTGTCCTCCAGTATTGTCTTTACTTTGCGGTTCAACAATAACGTGAATATCAGAATTAGATATAGTTGAATTTGGGTCTATAGAAAGTACATTTAAATCATTGTCTGAATTCCAATCAGATAAAGCACACTGTTTTTTAGGTACAGTATCTGCTAGCGACTGACTTGTATCAGCTAGCGACTGTAAATTGACTTTGACTATAGGTTTGTATACAATTGGTTGTCGTTCCTTTTTTCGTATGCTTCAAGACGTCGATTTTGTTGCCGTAAAGATAACTGTCGAAAATTTTTCGGCATCTGTTAATAATACATTATTATAAAATTATAACATTATTATAAAATAGTGTTATATATTTAATTATTTAAATTATTTAAATTATTTAAATTATTTATGTATTATTATATACAGAATTGGGAGGTCACACGTTACTTAAAATAAATGTCCCAATAGTTGAGCATGTTTCTAGTATATGAACATTGCAATAAATATTTATAATTATTAAGTTATATATATTATATATTAGTCTATATATATTTTATTTTATATTATATATACAAAATATATTAATATTTAAAACTTGTATTTTTCAATATTTATTAAAAAAATTATCTTCAAACATTGGAAGAAAAAAAATTTATAAGCTTGAAAAAATTATTTTTATAATGGCTGTCTACTTATATCTATTTTCTTAATGATCTAGTTAAGACATGCCATTTACTACTTAAGAGTATATTTTTTATATAAATTGTGCTTTTATAAAAAAATAAAAGCTATTTCAACTCATAAAAACATCTATTATTAAAATAAACTCTTTCTTTTATTAAATAAAGTTATGTAAAAATAATAAATTTAGTATATATTTACTAGTACTCAAAAATTCGTGCAGACTAAGTGTCAGATTAGTAAACGAGGGATCCCGAGTTCAAATCCAGTCGGTCTTCGTTTATTTTTTCGAATCTAATAAATATCTTTCAGTATTATCTTAGCATCCTTAATTCAGTTTTATTTTTTCCTAATTTTCAAAACTGAAATGAAAAATATAAAGTAAATTAAATTAAAATTAAAGTTAATCTATGTACCCAACATTAAAACGTTTTAAAGACGACTAAAAGACACTCTAATGGCTAATAGGACGCCCAAAAAGATATACTAAAAGACGTCTTATGTCCCGATTTTAGATGTCTTATAAGACAACTTTTGGATGTCTTATAAGACACTTTTTAAACATCTTATGAGACAACTTTTGCAAGTTATTTTATAAGACACTTTTTAGACATCTTATCAGATGTCTTTTGGCTATTCTAATAAATTCTAAAGCATTTTTTAGGCACTTTTTTTAATAACTTCAAAATGTATACTTAATGAGCAGAATGTCTAAAATCGATGCATAAGACAACTTCAAAGTATCTTTAAGAAAGATATCTCACTAAATAAAGAACTCTGTAACGATACGTCTTCCGCGCAGTATAAGTTCTAAGTGTAAGTGCGACCGGACTCCGTGCCCGATATCGAACGTACCGACCGCCGCGCGCGCCCGTAAGACCGAACACATCGCGCTGCGCGCGCAACAAACACGCACTTATCATGTGCGTGTCAAATACCGTCGACGACTCGCGCTATTTTGCAAGCTGCAAAATAACAAAACGCGACGAGTATATAAACTTGGCTACGATAAAACAACCAGACTGATCCGATCCTCTAACCTGTTTCTATTTCCTAACCGAGACCAGACATTCCTGATCTCCGCTGAGCATGATGGATGATACCTCGACACCAGGTATCATCCATCTGCAAAAATGAGAAAATCGGGACAGAGCATTTTCAATCTTCGTCAAGTATACTTGGCTCTCACTTCTCCGAGACAGAGCATTCTCAGTCTCAACGCTTCCTTGCTAACGATACGAGCAAAGTAGAACGAGACAAGTATACTTGTCAAAGACTGAGAATACTTCGTTCCATGTGCTCATGTAATGATAAGAGTGGTGAGACTGAGAATGCTCCATCTCGGAGTTGGAAGATAGGAGAAACGAGTGACAAGTATACTTACCACTCTTACCATTACACGAGCACACGGGACGGAGTATTCTCAGTCTCCGACAAATATACTTGTCTCTCGTATAAAATCCACGAACAGGAGCAAGCATTCTTCTGACATTTGAACGCGCATTGATCACGCGGCAACAAATCGCCATTCAATCAGTCACGCGCCTACGCGATCAGTAGGCCCCGTTACGAACTAATCACTCGCTCCGACGCACGCGTCGCGCACTCGAGTGCACTCCGCATACTTCAGGCGCACCGAAAGATGCACGTCGAACAGCACATAACACCTACCAATTCGAGAGGGATTCGAGAGAATGTCTTTCACATGTATATATGTATATTGTAATATATGTATATATGTGTATCATTGTATTGTTGACGTGTTATTCTAAACACGTTATTTGTGATAAATATTATCACATGCCTCGGTAATTGAAGGAATAAGATGCCTGCTCGGTAAGCAGGAGATCCAATTCGATTCCTGGCTGAGATGGTATTTTTTCGCAAAAATAATTACGAGTTTTCACGATTGATTCGTGGTCGGGCCCCGCCGTGACGCACACCCTCCCTTCTTATTTGGGCGCGCTAAGCAAATCTATATCGTTGAGAATCCACATCATCAAATCCAATAAATATATTTTAACTAATATTTTTTAACCAATATCTGAGTCAAATAACTTTATTAATTTCCAAACCGACGAGCACGTCCGCGCATCCGAATTCGCACGACATCGTCCGGCGAAGACGGACCGTTATAACTCTGAAAGATATTTTAATTCATACAGCAATTGACTGTTTGTCGACTAATTGTCGACTTTTTTTAGTCGACTTGAAGTCGATTTGTAAAGTCAACGTTTAGTCGATTCTTTCTGTAATGATTTTTATCGACTTTATTTGTCTTACAATAAGTCGACTTAAAGTTAACTTTAATTATTTCCGATTAACTTAATTATTTCCGAGGATATTAAAGTCGACTTTTCATTAGATTTTTAGTCGACTAATATTGTCAAATTTATGTTCATTTTTAATTGTACAGATGCGTTATTAAATTATAAGAATTCTAATTTGATATTTATATTTGACACTAAGTCAATATTGTGAACGTTAAGTGGAACGCACCATTAAGCGTTAGTATAATTCTTTCTGAGTTTGTTTGATTTCTATCCAACATTCATATTAGATTATATGGCAACACAACGTGCGATATTAGTAAAACGTGACTCGATGTGACCAGCGATATAATCCAAGATAATTTTCTTTTTTTTCTTGATATTATTAATAGAAACTGTAAAATAAATTTAGAAGATGTTACTAAAAATACATTTTTAAAAATATTTTTCTGATATTTGCTAATTTCTCGAAAAATTAGTGCTTTTCAAAATTTAAGGTTACGTTGTAAAAATTGTAAAATTAATAAAGCAATATTATTTTTTGTTATTTCTTTGATGATTTGTTATTCTTTTTTTTGTTATTCTTTGATGATTTGTTATTCTTTGATTTCATGAACATGATCATAAATTAATACTACAATTTCACGTTCTTTTCATATCTATGTAAAAAAATATTTGCTATTTAACTTTCAATCTTTTACAGAACAGATTCAAAACAATAATTGCAATTTTTTGCTTTGGTGCCTGTGCTGTCTGCTCTGTCTTCTCTGTCTTCTCTGTTCAGAGGTAAGTGCTTTCATAAATTAACACTACTATTTCATGTTTTTTTTATATCTATGTAAAAATGTTTGCTATTTAATTTTTAATTTGTTTTTACAGACAAATTCGAAGGAGCAATTTTCTGCTCTCTACTGCTTGGTCTGTCTTCTCTGTTCAAAGGTAAGTCCTTTGATAAATTAATATTACAATTTCACGTTTTTTTCATATCTGTGTAAAAAAATATTTGCTATTTAATTTTCAATCCGCTTTTACAGAACAAATTTGAAAGAACGATTGCGATTTTTTTTGCTCTCTTTTGCTTGCACTGTCTTCTCTGTCTTCTGTATTCTGTATAGAAGTAAATTCTTTCATAAATGAATATTACAATTTCATGTTTTTTTCATATCTACGTAAAAAAATATTTGTTATTTAATTTTCAATTTATTTTTACAGAACAGAATCGAAGGAGCAATTGCGATTTTCTGCTCTCTAGTGTCTGCGCTGTCTTCTCTGTCTATTTGAAAGTACCATAATGTAAAAGTTTGTAAAGTATGTTTATAATGTTGACATTTGAAACGTTTTATATTTTATAATAAAAAGCTTTGTAAAAAGAATTGCATTTAATTTTTTATTATATAATGCCACTATTAATAATGCCACTACTATGAATATTGCCTAAAAGTTGACTTATTTATTAAATAATAGTCTACTTATTGTCGATTAAATGTCGACGTAATCATCATAACCTAATCGATGTCGATTTATAACATTGTTTGAAAGTTGACTTATTGTTGGCCAAAAATCAACCTAGTCGCCATAACCAAATAAAAAATGTCAGCTTATAGTTATCATAAAGTCGACATTTAGTCTAACTTTAACGTCGACTTTAGACTTCTTCTACCGATTTATAGTCGACTAACGGTTGTTAATCGACTATGTACTGTTTGGGTAAAGTTATGCGTCAATTTTAGATAATCTGTTTATTGGATATCGTTTTCTTGTAAAATATGAAATACTTGCAAAAAATATAAAAAATATATATAAAGATATTTCTAATAAGTATATCTAACGTTCTATATAATATTATTTAAAAAACAAAAAATATTTTGGATTAAAGTCGCACGTGATATCGGAGCATGCAGTTGTTCACCGGAAAGAAACCAAAAAGCAGCTAGCGACTGACACTGATGTTACCGGTAATATCAGAAATTACGTAACTCATTAGTTTTACGATTGCAAGTTAATAAAAGTAGTAATTATACTCATCGTTACATGGTGATATTATCTGTCATACTGTATTATTACGTCCGAGCTTCGAAAGAAAGGAAAGGCAATTCAATTAAGAGAGAGAGAGTTCGGGTGGACGCACAGAACTGTTTTTTATTCTCTCAGATCGGCATTGAAGTATCAACCTGCGAATCGAACGCACTCTTTGAGCACAGGGTAACGGGATAATGTCGATGATCTACCTGCGCTAGCGCTGTTGGTGATCCGTTTTTTGGTCAGAGAATCGAAGATCGCACGAGGTCCTGTCCCAAGTCCTAACCTGCGATCTTCAAAGCTCGGGAATAGTCGAAGTTTATTTTTAAAATAATTAAAACATAACTCAGTTTAACAAAAATTTAATGAGTAAATGAAAGAAGAGAAATACATAAACGGAGCTTGAGTTTACATTTATATTTAATAATAATATTGATTATTAAACTTAGAAAAACAAAATCACATGGATCTACATTACGCGGTACAAAGGTTAAGATTTACGTGAAAATTTTATGGCGGTACATAATTGTAACTTCGCGTATTAACTGGATTTCTAATTGCTCGAGATAAAATTTCGTTATGGTCAATATATCGATGGGGTCGGGCGCAAAATATGACGAAGAATGAAACATTTAGCTAGTATAAGATAAGGGAGGAACATCTCGTTAGAAATGTATATGGGGATGGCGTGGGATTGGCGTTTGGAGATTTTCTCCTAAAAATTCGAGGGTAGGTTTAAACTTGCGTTTTACGTAAAAGATACCCGGAGGTGAAATGGAGGATTGAGGGAATTGGCGGACAAGAATTTTTTCAAATCGAAATTCTCTGGAGTACATTGTTGCTCGAATTCTGTCGCGGAGCGGAGGGCGGTGACGTATTTTTCTAACATTATGGTTGCAAGATTTTACCTCTATTAATTGTTCCGCGAGTTCGACAGCGCATTCATTTTTGCGACGAGCCCGCTTGTTTTGCTTCTCCCGAAAGTCTTAACGCTTGTTTTGTTTGGTTCTTCGGAATGTTGGTTGATATTTCTGTTTGGTTCATTATCAGAAATATAAAATTGGTTTAAAGAAAAGGTTTTAAACGAGGTAGGAGTATTGAGAAGCCGGGCAGGGCAGCTTCATCGAATTAATCGACGGCTTGCCAATCTTAATGGAGCAGAAATTGGAGTTAGGATTTTGGCTTTCACCGAAAATATCAGCGGCATGCGAATCCTATGGATTCGCAGCTGGAGTGAGGGGATGACTTAAGGAAGAAAACAAGAATCGAACGGCCAACTAAACGCGGAAAGAAAAATAATTAAGACGAAACTCACTTTTGTTATTGTTGAGCACAAATCGTGATTGAGAATTGGTTGGTTGGCAGGATCCGTGCTGGAGATTCGTCTCACAACGAGATTATATGATCGCGCATAGATTCTAATATTATGGAAAAATGAGTTTCTTGACTGTTCCAAAAGATGCCGTTCGGAAGGTGAAGAAAGTGAAGCGAGTGATTTGCTCTAAATCGCAGTTTATAGGGTTCTAATAGGTGGGAAGGATCTGAGGCGTGATGGATCTCTATGTTAGTCTTCGAATGATAATTCGGAAAAATTGCGAGTGTAGGGAAAGGAGGGGAGCGGCGCTCTGTGGATCGTGGTTGTTTTTATGTTTTCCTGGCGAATGACGGAATTAGTTAGTTTATGAAAATTTCATCCGTCATTCCTTAATTACCCATTGGCATGTTCACCAACGGCTGCCGATCGCTTTCTCTGATTGACGTTTTCTTAGTCTCCCCTCCAGCTTTCGGGGGTGTCGGCCTCGAAAAATCCCGCGCGTCAGGAATTTTGATTTTGTTAGTATTTCAAATTTTATTAATATGCTATAAATCTTTCGGCGCCGGCAAGACTGTTCTCCACAAAAAATTATTGTTTCCGGATGACAGGACGTGTCTCGAGAAGAATTCTGTGTGTATTTTTTCAGAGTCTCGCCGTTCCGTTTAATAAAAGAGAAAGCCTTTCTAGATCGTTCGAAGCATTTTCGTTTGTCAACTAGCAGCCGTTATCTTTCTCCGAAAGAGAATAATTCAAGTCCGCCGAACGTGACACCCCCCGCCTTAGACAAATGTTGAGGGTGCATAACATTTGCGGCAATAAGATAATGATTCCTCTTTTTCGATTTTTTTTGCGCTAGGAGGATCCACATGCAAACGTATCGTTTGCATGTGAATCTCGAGTTTATGTGAGGA